AAACGATTAGGTATCAGATCACGACTGTTAAACTTGCTTGCTTCATGCCTAAGTAATCTACTTTATAAGGTAAGGGTTAATTTCAATTTCTCTCAGGCTGTGGAATATCATAGTGGGTTCCCTCAAGGTTCAGTATCAGGACCTCTTTTTTTAAATTTATATAAAATACCTTACTCAGCAAAAGTCGTCAGACGTTTTGCTTTTCACTGATGATGTGAAACACTGGGGAGAAATATGCAAACATAAAGGCTAACCGACACTCCCGGATGATTTGATTTGACTTCAAAATTGAGTAGTGATGTGAACAGAGAAAAAGGAAGACTTAACAAACTACGAAAGCTATTTTCGGGGACGTTGCTTCATTTAATTGAAAGCATGTAAGACAGTAACATTGACTATTGTCCCTAGTCTATTGTACAGATCATAAGTTTTCGTTTGATGTGTGATTGACTGCAATGGCCTTTTCTGTTCCAAATCTATTGTAATTTAGACATTGATCTTTTGTACTCTATTTTCCACTCTAATCCTTTATTTTCAGACGTAACCGTATTTTCCTAATTGTGGTACATTATGGTCGGGTTAGTCATCTATCTATTCATGTATCTTTTAACACTAATCTGAAATCGAGTACCAGGTCGGATTTGGGAATAAATCGAGAAGTGTTCCAATTGTCTCGTCTTCTCTCTCTCGCGTGCCTGTCAGTCAATCAGGTGATAGAATAGTTTTCGTCTCTCTATCCCATTTCAAATTCACGCATTCTAGCCCCAAGGTTAAGCCAGTCAGCCTGTCGCATCAAGGTCTTTATCTACATTAGACAAGTTATCCTCGGCATGAAAGTGGGTAGAAAGATCAAGGACGTAACAGGTAGATGAGAAGAGAAATACCTTTAAGGGTTCAAAATGTGAAGTAGTCCGTCTGAGACATGTTGAAAATTACAACCTGGGCAACTCCCCTCTAGAGGTATCCCATGTTAAATAATATATGGGGTGTTAGTGCCGTACTATTTGATGTCTTACGCTGAGACAAAAATGCATCCCGAGCAAACCTTGCACTGGTAACGCGGAAGCACATTTTTTTCCAGTTTAACGGAGGATCTTTGAGTTTTATTTGACAACACCTGGAGTGTGAAAACGTAGTGTTTTCCAAAAGGATCTGGACACTGTGGAAAATATCCATCGGCGAGTCACGAAATCAGTTTGGGGACTTTAATTCAAACCTCAATAAGAGTGTCTTCAATCACTGAACTTTTAACCATTTGAATACAAATGTCTTGATGGTAACTTTCCAATGGCTTACAACACCAACGTTTCTAAACATGCCTTAAATAACCACTTGAACACAGTCCCAACACAATCCCCAGGGGTAACACCCAGACGCAACACACGTGAACGGACCGTAGACACAACTTATACTCCTTAAGAGTAGTCAAAGGCTAGAATTCGCTGCCGGCTGTGCTAGCCCAAGTGACTTCCCAGGAGTCTTGTAAGAGAAAACTTGCCATATCTGTAAGTACTAAGATCAGTATCTCACTATGATTTACCAACTTTTTCTTTTTTCCTCCTCAATCGTTATTATACATAGTACGTACATGGAGGCGTCGGCGTTCCACCGCTCATAGATATAGAATCCAGTTAGGCTTAAGCTTCTTCGATTCCTTCCAAAACCATTAGAGTTTTGCGGAACTAGGTGTATTAGGCTAAGAATAAACGGCATCATACCTACTTAGATGTTTTTGAAAAACAAAATGATCATCATCTTTCGAAAAATCAAAAGAATGGTCAGTTAAAAACCGGGACACACAGATGAATAGATATGTACATATAAATAAACATATTTGACCTTAAACCAGCAGAAGTTTCAGTTTGTTTCACAGCTTCTTTATTAAATTTTTGTGGTGGATAAGATGTTATTAAATGAACACTTATTACTGAGGCGCATAAATGTATTTTGTTGTCGATAGATAAAATGTATTTTAATCGTCAGCGTGGAAAGCCACAAGGTCAGGTTGCATGTTTAAAGTTGGGTTCGTTTGGTATGAAACCATACTCTACTTAACATGTATTTATCCTTTACCTTCATCTCACTTGTTTGTTTTCGTTAGTTACTGTATTGTATCTTAATTACCAGAATCACGCTTCTCAACGGTGTACACACAAAGTCGACATTGCTACATCGATCATTTGCCAGACAAATAACAATTACGAAAATAAAGGAGACGATATATGGGGAATCCAATGCTTATTTGTCTGCTTTCAGACTTACTTAAGTTTTTCTCTGAGGCGTTCTTCAATGCCTAACCATTCATGTTACCACCAATACTGTCACTACCTCAATACTTGGGGATTCTTCCTGACAACTCAATCTCTCTGTGCCAATGGAACGTAATAACTTGAACCAATGTGCACACGTGCCATCGTCTGCGTTATTTGATCGGTTTTAATAGGATTTGTTAGGTCCGAAAGTAGAATAAGCTGCTTAAATGATGTCGTAATGATACCAAACACGTCTGGCGAGACTAAAGAACATGGACGAGCCAATCAGAAGCTTTCGTGGGTTTTCAAGGTCACGGCGCTAAGTTCGGTACCTGATGCTTACGTACGGTCGGTTTACAACGGATTTTAGAGAAAACATGATAATTAAGCGTCTACAAGATAAGTTATCATAAGATTTTGGCGCAAAACTCAATTATACATTTGTACAGAGTTGTGGCATTATAGTTGATGTCAGTTCGTGATGAAAAACCGTAAGTATAATTCCCAACCTTAACCATGAACTGTAAATCATAATTTGAATTCTTCACACGGGTTTATGACCCTCATTTAGTCTTAGTTATTACGTTTACACTCTCAGATTCACTCTAGCGTCGCTCAAATGTCGTCCATAATTCATAGTCTCATCTTTAACCCTAAACCTTAACCCTAATCTTAAACCCTGAACCATACCAACATACCGACAACACTGAAACTATGTGGTCGAGGCTGAAAGAATTTTCGGGACTTTATCATGGTTTCAGAGGTCGGCTACTATGGAGCCACAAGGATGAGTTCCTGTGCCGGATGCACTATGATTTTAGAACTTCTGAACCTATATCTAACCTTGATAAGTTTTTGATTCATGTAAAAGAACACTATCCCCTTTAATTTTTGAGTTTTATATAATATATTTTTACTGTATGCTAACTGTCTTCTGATTGGCTAATATTTCTCAAGGTCATTTAAGATTCGTTCAAAGGTCGTCCACGTTCTTTAGTCTCGCCACACGTCTTACCGGTTTCACAAACGTAGGGTAATAATCAGTCTAGTGCAACGTTAAACCTAGCATTTGTGTGCATCATTTTAAGTTCCTACACCATAATAACACAGCGAGATAGTAAAATAGTCAACAGTATTACAATTTGCCTAAAAAGATATATATATATATATATATATATATATATATATATGTCTATTTGGATTTTTGCATGAGTTAGATCTAACAGCGACGGTTTTAGCAGTTTCTATTTTATTACATACGTGATTAATCCCAACACCTATTCAGACGTCCCACAATCGTAGTATTTCTCGACCCTAAAGCGGCATTTGACTCCGTTGATCGTGAGGTTCTGTGGCAGTGTTTGTCACTGAAAGGAGTAACAAAGAAGTACATTAACCTTATAAAGCTTCTCTACTCGAACACAACTGGTCGAGTAAGAGCTTTTGGCGAACTGTCATCAAAATTGATTACCTCAAGTGGTGTTCGTCAGGGATGTCCTCTCTCTTCATTCTTGTTTAACTTTATCGTAGACATGATTTTAGAAATAACACTTTCCTCATCTAAATTTAGAGGGGTTAAACTTCTACCAGGAGATTCACTTTTAAACTTAGAATATGCTGATGACATAGTTTTATTTGGTGAAGACGCTGACGAAACGCAGTCTTCTGAGACCACTATAAGCAACAATGCAAGCATGTTCGGGATGCGATTCTCCTTTTCGAAATGGAAAATGTTTCTTCAGGATTAGATTGCATCGACACCCGAACTAATGATAGGAAAGTAAGTAGTTGGGCGTGTCGACCGCTTCACTTATCTTGGTAGGCTCGTCAGCTCCTATGGTCTGGTGTGTGATGTAGTCGCAGATCGGATACAGAAGGCTCAACTGGCTTTTGCCAACTTGCGTCATTTATGGCGTACGCGAGATATCCATCTATCAACCAAAGGATGGGTTTACTGCGCAGCAGTTCGTTCCATCCTAGTTTATGGCAGTGAAACAGCCGGTACGAGTAGACTACTAGTATTCAATCATAGGTGTCTCCGAAGCATTGCTCGTGTATCCTGGGACCACTGAGTAAGTAATACAGTTGTTAGGAAACGAGTATTAGGATGGAAAATCAATTGAAGTAGTGAAACTTCATCAGTTAAGATGGCTGGGACATGTGTTACGCATGTCCAACCACCGACTGCCCCGACAAGCGATGCTTCATGGTTTGGGAATAGGTTCAGTCTGTCAGTCACAACGTAGAACTTCGTACGTACGTACATCAGTTCGAGTTGCCATACCACATTAGCATTGAGATGCAGTTGTCGATTCAAATCCCATAGTGGTAGAGGTAGTAAGAGTATGAGCAGTTATCCGAAATATAAGGGTTTGAAGATGTTATTCAAGGAGTATAAACCGGTGAAATAAATTTGGAGGGAGAAAAAAGAAAGGGATATGAAAAATTCAGAAGACTAGAATTTGGTAGAACACAAAGAGTAGATGCACCTTCGCCATTGCAAACGATTTAGAGTCATATCATTCAAGGTCTCTATCCATCGGTTATTATCTCGCGGATCCCAATCAGGTGGTCTACACCTACCAACATGGCTCAGTTAACTTGCCAGTGACTTCATGGGTTTGTGCCATGTTTTGGTCTTTCGGATCACTGCTTATACTCTTACTTAATCCACCACTATGGGATTTAAATCGAAAACCGTATCTCTGTGCCAATGTGGTATGGCAAATTGAACTGATGTACGTGCGTACGAAGTTCTACGTTGTGACTGAATGACTGATCGCAACTTTTAGACATACTTCAATAGTTCAAATAGTATATGACTTCTGCGTCATTTTTATATTACCGATTACCATTTGTTTATGGGAAATTGTTCCCTTCAGAACTCATACCTTATATTCATGTCTTAGTAGTTCTACTTTTATACATCTCATGTTTTTGTTTGTTTCTGTACACTATTTTAATCAATCCCCATCTCCTTGTCACACATATTGTCTTTTGAATTATATTGACACTTGCAGTAAGTTATATTTTGAGTAGGTACATCTGCTTTCTTTGCTTATCATCTGTTTGTCTTATTTCCGAAATGAATGTTTGAAATATAAACATCCGTAACACATGTATTTAACTTCTACATCCGTGTTATCAGTGACGGGATTTGTCGACAGAATATAAAGGATGTAAATGGGAACTATATTTTATCAACACAATTAACGACTCGATAGTAACATACAGTAGTCAACTAAACTGTCGAAGGATTTGTTACTGTTAGGTCACTAGGTCTCGTTCCATGTTTATTATCACAAACTTGTTTCTGAGATCGAGACGCTAGCTCCTGTAATAAGTGGGATTGTGAGGTATTTTTAAAAGAATAATATACGGCAGCTGTATTATCAAAGTGTTCGATATTCTGAGTCGTGTAATTTATGTTTTCGTTTATATGTTGGATTCAATAAACTGTTAGAAAATGAAGAAGTAGCTGATTGGTAGAATCGTGGATAGTAATGTCACAAAAACAGAGTTACCAAAATGATGACTACTAACTTTTAGTCGAAAACAAAATAATTTTCCAGAGAAATCCCAGTTTTTTTAGACTGAAGCGATTACCTACATAATGTGCAACGTTCGGGGTGTAAGCTTACCACAAATTGTTACTAAAATATCGACTCCGAGTTTATCACACAGGCTATTAAACGCACAACAGGCTAAGACGTTTTTCTCAAATCGCGAGTATATAATTTAAATCGTCATTCTCTAACAAGTGATTAATTGCTTACGTATAGCAAATCAAGATCATATTTCTAATATGCGTTAAGGGGACTAAATTGAGATTGTCTATTTTAGAAGGGTACATCCGTAATATTTATTGACTTCACGACAGCTTTCTAGAAATATCTTCGGCAGGTGGAGTGCGAACATTCTGCCTCACTAGATGTTATTCGGATAAAACGTAATAGTGATCTAGTAGTTTCCTGGTGTATTCTTCATAGACACCAACGTTGACATTATGTGGGAAAAAACATCCTGATCAAAAATTTGCCTCTCAATATTTTCAGTTTTCCTGTTTCCTCTTGTTTCTTAACGGTTACATTTATTAGCAGTCCGCGTTTTTGTCGAAAATAAAGCTGAGGCACATTTTTAAAAGTTTTGAATAAATACAGTATATAGTGTTCGAATCTTAAAAAATTGTTATTCCCAAGTTGGTTTATGTGTTATTTTCCCCTTTTTAGTAGTAAGAACCACAAACTGAGGCAATAACTCTATTATTCTTTGACGCCTCTTTATGACACCAGTGAATCCTGAAAAGTACTATTTCTCTAAGATCCAGCTTTACGATCCTAATGAAATCATAAATTACGGGATTCAAAAGCAAATTCAGAGGAAAAAGAAAAGGAAACTAGCTAAACTCGAGAAGCAGGGTATATTTATTGGCAGAGACCCAATAAAACTGTTGAAAAAAGCTAACAAGAGTTCAAAATCGGAAACTAATAATACAGATCTGACATCTGTTGATATCATTCGCAAAAAGTGGAAAATTGCATCACTCAGGGCTCAAGGTATACTGATTCTACGAATTAATTTGTATCATTTCAGGTGTGAAGGTTAAAGATGATATGTCACTTTTGAAAAAGGCAGCTGATAAGGTACATAAACTCAAACGGAAACGAGCTAAAAATTGGAGGAAGCGTGTAGAGGCTAATGAAGAAAAGAAACGTGAAAGACAGGTTAAAAGAACCACCAATATTCAAGCAAGAAGAACGAAAAGACTTTCAAAGAAACTGAATAAAGCTCGTAAAAAAGGGAGGATTTTCTTTGCCTGTGAATAAAAGACTGTCTGAAACACTTCATAGTACTTACTGATGAGCATTTTGAAATTCATTTATATTCCTTGGTTTTGGTACAAAGAGTTTGTTAAATAACTCCTTGAGATCGGGCACCTTGATGTCCGATTCCATAGATAGAAAAGACCAAGTTATTAAACTGAAGTCGTCTTGTTGAATTCAATGACTGTTGTTGGGATTTACGTAGGTCTACTGACTAGTGTCAGCCAAAGTCAGAAATCCTAAGCGATTTTACTCTAAACCGAATGAAATAGGGACGATGTATCCTGTCCGCATCGCTTAGTTCTTGGCTATGTTATTACGTCACCTATCTAATATGCTTTTTTGCTAATAAACCACTAGAATGGTACACCTTTCGTTATTTCTTCTTTGTTCGTTAGCTTTGCCAGCGAGACTATAATTTATGAACAGACCAATAGGGTTGGGGAAAACAGGTCTTGGATTTTGGCGCGAAAATCACTCATGCATTTGCTTAAAAAGCGTTTATGGATTTTAGCTTATGTCAGTTCGTGACGAAACTTTAAATCTAATTCGTAACCCTAACCATCAATTGTAAATCATAATACTTATTCTACGCATAGGCTTATAACTCTCATTTAGCTCTAGCGAGTAAGTGAACATTCTCAAGGCTACTTTAACGTCGCTCGAAGGTCGTCCTTAAATTACAGTGTCACCATTTCGCCTTTCATAAATATTAGATAATTCCGAGTTCATTACATCACTAAGTTCATCAACTTACCATGTCAGTAAGGTCATGCAATACTGCCGAAAAATTGTTCGCATTTATTACTTTAGACAGTCAGTTACCCAACAGGTCCAATTGCTTTCTTGGTGCGTATTCATAAGTTTGTTTATATTCCTCGTCTCAAATTTCAGCTGTTTATTCTTTATCATATAAGAAAGATCAATCCATGATACCGATGTTCATTCTTCAACAAGTCGTTTGAGTAGATCGCTACGTTTTATAATTTAATTCCACCAGGCACTATCAAATATTAAAGATACTGGTAATGAACCTGAATTGGTAGATACCAACAACACTATTGTATTAGTGCTGAAAGTTTGATGCAAATACGAGGATTAAAAAGCTTTCTGTTTAGTTGTCACATTCTATTCCATCTATTGAATTCACGACTGATGGACGCTATAGTTATGTACTCATATTTCCTATCGTAGTGTATACTCCACAGATAGCTAAAGAAAACGTAATCATAGTAATTCGCAGCTTATTTATTTGAATTTCTTAAGTGTTTAGTATCTTTCAGAAATTAGTAGTGGTACACTTATATCTGAATAACACACTACCTATGTGACTGCTTAAGTAATAGGATAGAAATATCAAACTCAGGACGTTTATAACCAATCCCGGAAACGTTGACATCATTGTTGAGATTTTTTGTAAAGTGACATAATTTTTCAAGCGCACAGATTATCACAGGACTTTGATGGGAATAAAAGCTTAACTAATCAGGTCTGTAGACTTCTAAACCATTAACCGACCACAAATTTAATCCTAAACCATCAATCAGATGTGGAGAGATGAAATTGTTAAGAAAAATCCATGAGTAGTAGAAGTGCTAACGAAGGTAGTAAAATAAAAAAGATTTAATAGGTAATTTGGAAACCTAGGATCGAAGGGATGACAAAAATTGAATGCATCTGCACCATTGCGAGCTATTCTAAACCATGTCACGCGTCGAAATAACAGGTCGATGGGGATAATATATGTTTCGGTCGATAAAGACTCACTACCTCTTAATTCTCAAACTAAAATAGCTTTGGATTCAACTTTCCTTATAGACACTGATAACTTCACTAACATCAAAATGGACAGATTTCCCACTCACTTATTAATTTATTCGAACACATAAATATTGGTACAAGGGGGCACCAGATATATATGCGTCACACAAAACGATGAGAATGGGAAGAGAAAAAGGGGGTAAGGTGCATATAAAAAAAGAGAAATGAACAATAACAACCACAGATTAGTGTATGTTAATGTAATGTCATACACTGACCTCTCCGCTTTTTCCAACCAGTCCCAGAGTCGGCAAATAATACACGAAGAATTCTCTGGGACGACATTCGTTGAACATGTCCAAGCCACCGAAGTTGGTGTTTCAAGATGGTGACACCAATTGGATTATCGTCCCTGCGCCCGAACAAACGATGCCGAACCTCTGCATTACTAACATGGTGTTGCCACTGGTTGTCAGCAATCTTTCGGAGACCAGGTTTCACAAACATAGAGCAAAACTGCTCTCATCGACGCGTTGAAGATCCGACACTTTACAACCAGACTAGCATCACGAAGGCGCCAAAGACGGCCCAGATTAGCATAAACTGCTCTGGCTTTCACTATATGTGAGTCAATTTCACCACTCACGCCACCACCAGCACTTATGCAGCTACTTAGATACACGAACTCGATTACTTCTATCTGTTCACCACCAAGAGTGAGTAAAGGATTAAAATCCTGCCAGTCTTATAGAAGTACTTTGCCCTTCGAAAATGCAAAGCACATATCGTACCTACGGACAGTGATTAAGTGCGAATTGCATGCCTTGGGTATTATCTCACAGCAGGACAATATCACCTGCGCACTCAAGGTCGAGAAGTCCTTCTCCAGGCAACAGATCCACATCGCCATTACCCACATCTATCAGAACTGTTTCCAGAAATTCATGGATGGCAAAGTTGAAGAGGAATGGTGAGATTGGGCAACCCTGTCTAACCCAAATGCTTGAATAGAACAATGCTAGCCACTATCTATCTTTGCTTACAATGAAGAAAGGTGGTTGTATGCCCTCACTCTGTCTGAGGTGCTTGTATAAAGGGCCTTTAAGATGTTAATAAACTTCTCAGTCACACCCTTCTTCAATAGACAATCCCAGCGAACAGTCCTGTCCAACGAATCGAAAGCAGCCCTGATATCAAGAAACATTACGATTGTTGGCCTGTGATATGTACGACGGTGTTCTAACATTTGGCGGAGGGTGAAGATGTGATCAATGCATCCTCGACCACAACGAAAACCAGCCTGCTCCTTGCGAGTCAGTCTTTCTCAGGTTTTGAACAATACACGAAGAATGACAGAAGCCAATAGTTTGAACGCAATCGGACGTAGACCTATCTCCCGATAGTTGTTACAGTGACGACGTGAACCCTTTTTTAAAGATAGTGACAACTATCGACTCATTTCATGATGTTGGAACACTTTCTAGCTCACAGACCTTTGTAAACAACTCAGTCACCACCATCTTTAAAAAGAGCCGGAGGTAAGTTGTCTAAGCCCGGTGATTCGTAGAGTTTCAAGAGTTGGAGTTCTTTGCGGACTTCCGCTTCATTTAGTGGATCAGTCGTCACAGGTCATGGAAGGCAGGAAAATCTGGTCGATGTTGCTGAAGCAGCAGGCCAGTTGAACTGCCCTTCAAGGAATTCCGCTCATCGACAAAGACGTCAATAGATAGTGATTGGCGTCCCTCTATTCTCACAGGTTGTTTCACTCACACCAGACGTCTTGCTGCCAGTTGCTTGGATGAGTTGGAAGAGCTTCCGGCAGCTACCAGATGCAGCTGCTGCTTCCATCTAATTAGCACGCTCCGACCACCAGGCCTCTTGGTCCTTACGCAAGCTTTGCCCAATTTCACTACGTAACAGCCTTCGTTTGTGGTCAAACTCACGGTCACCCGGAGTAGACCGACGGGCTTTGATGAGTTGTAAGGAACCAGAAGAAACCCAGTGCTTGTAAGCGGGATGTTTCGCGAAGCCGCAAGCGGTTTTACTCTCCATTTTCGTGTCGTCATGCAGTTGCAGCCAATGCTCATCTTTACATTTCGGTGGGATGGTAGCTAGCTCCGTTCGATACTTACTTGCAACGGAAGTTGCAACTAATTTACTGAAGTCAATCCGTTGGCCACTGAAAAGTAAGTTAAGATTGGTGCAAACCAGGGCATGATCAGACTCCAGATAGGTACTCCAAAAGGAGCGGCAGTCTTGCACACAACCACGCCAGCGGTAGCTGATCGCGATGTGATCAATCTGAGTCCAGGCTTGAGATGCGGAGGGAGGACGTCATGTGGCACATCGGCGATGACTGTGCCGGAAGTAAGTGCTAGCCAGAAACAGGTTGTGGTCTGTGCACAGTTGCAGCAAATGGTCCCCGCTAGCTGTCCTGCGACCAACAAGTCCCCATCGGCCACCTAAACGACTCTCTTCTGTGCCTAGACGTCCAACCTGTGCATTCAAGTTTCCGGCTAGTACTACAATGTCTGTCGAACGCGCTTTCTGCAGAACTGTTGACTGGTGGTAGAACTCACCTTTGATTGCATCCGGGCTGCAATCTGTCGGGGCGGAGATGACGAAAAGACATCGTTTCTCACGCCGATTTCTTTTCACCTTGATGGAACTTTCTAATCTAACAGCACATAATCGACTGTTAATGGGGATCCAGTCGATTAGTGCTGCCTCAGCTCTAGCGCTTAGTGCGACACCAACGTCAGCAAGACCAGATGAAGATGCCACAGAGTCCCCGGATAAGCGCACGTGAAACAAGCTTTTCGAAGCGACAGATGGAGAGCGAATTTGTAGTACTTCACTCGAGTCTTGAATACGGGTCTCGGATAGACAACAAACATCAACGTTAAGACTTTCTAAAGATATGGCCAGTCCCATCTGTTGTCCGATCTGCATTAGTGTGCGAACGTTGAAGGAAGCCAGCTTGAACGGCGTACGTTGTTTTAAGAAAGACTGGTTCAGTATTCGTATTCGGTAGAAGCATTGACGTCCGATTAGACAGTGTTTATTTATTATTATTTATTTAAACACATAAATATTGGTACAAAAAAGCACCAGATACATATGCGCCATACAAATCTCATTTGATTTGTGTGAGGGCTGTGATACTGCCCAGGTGCCCAGACTGAAGCAGGTGGTTTTCTTAGGGGCCACACCCGGAGCCTTTAACCTGAAGGTCTAGTCCACAAGGCAGTGGAGCATCGTGAGGAGATGCAGTTCCATGGTAGCCGGTGACCAACGATTGGTTCGTACGCCATTTGTCCCTTCAGGATACTGGAGCCCATGTGCACCATTGGTTTGGAATCAGGGTTTTTCAACTCCCCTAGGTGGATCCTCCGTGTCCACCAACCCGGTTAAAGCTCCGGACATTCGCTTTTCGTCCTCTCAATTTCGTAAACAACACCCCCGCCACGAGAAGGCAGTGAGTAGGACTTCCCTGGCAGAGGCTATATATTCGCTGGCCGTGTGAGAGCATTTCGAGAGGGAGAGCGGACTCTCCCCACTCTCGGCCGTACCAGGGCATTTGGAGGCGATTAGACAGTGACTGGAGATCGTTTAGATAGAAAAGAGTTTCTACCATGGGCGAGCTGCTGCATCAGTTGAAAAGTAAGGATACACGGGTTGGGAATAAAAGAAAGTAAGTGACGTGGTAAATAATAATGGGAATTATTTGACTTTTATGCGGAGTT